TTATTACACAAATAACCATGAAAAAGTATCAAAACTAAAGTATTATCTAGCATACCAAAAATTATGAGATATATGTATCTCTTCTCAACAAAACACATAGTTTTATACTAGCATGATCATCTAACTACTAAACCTCTAATGCTCCCTAACATGAAACCACAGGCTCTTTTGGTTGAATCACTTGTTGACCTGAGCACACTTTCGGTGGTAGAATTACCCAGCCAAAGGTAATCTAACCCACCTATGGATTATGGTTTTTCCCTCTTCACACACTTGTGATAGAAGCGTCGTTGACTCCTAACCGTACCCTAACGGGTATTGAGGAGTTGTCAAACTGCCCGATGTTCTATGGTAACAATCCCATATAATGCTGCACTGGATGTCCTATTGTGTTAGCCCAACCATATGGATTTTTCACTCATAAATCTTCACACACACATATTTCCACATATCTTGGGTGAACTCCCACCCCTTATGATCATGCTCTTTTCACAATTTTTACTACTTTTCATCACATTTTCATTTCACACTTATATACATAGTATATATATTTCAATTAAAAATAATAACCATTTACAAAACACTTTTTCATGCTAAAATCGTTTAAAAATGTCAAATTATGCACAAAACTCTTCAAAACCATACCTTAATCATTTATAATTACTTCTACATAGAACTATATGGTTATCTCAATCCTTTTGTCACATGAAAAGGGTTACCATGGCTTAACGTTAACTCTACACATTCTATACGCATAATATGGCTCGAGCAACACTCAATCTACACCAATAAGTGACAATAGTCAATTATCACTCCGGATAACTTCGAATTCACTAGGTTTTAGGTGCTTAAAATACTCAAATTCCTTCTGTAACAATATCAACTATTCCCACACACTCTAACCATTCTATTACACATTCTAACACACCCAAATCGCTAATCAATGTTCCACATTATCTCAAAATTCTTAAATTATACTTAGGGTTCGTCCAAACCCTTATAAAAAATTCTCAATCACCACAAAACTCATAAACTTAAGGTTAAAATTCCTAAGATCTTAAATAAACTAATGGGTTCAATCTAAACCTAAAGAAACTGAAATCAAAGTCCCTATTACCCTAAATATTCAGATTTTTGCATAAAAGAGGGAGAAGAGGGAATGTACAACTTAGCCAATGGTGAATCAAGCTCCAAATGCCTTCAAAGTAACAGATTGTGCCCTAATAGACTAAAAGCTCTCCTCTGTTGCTCTCCCATTTTTTCCTTCTTCTCTCTTCTATTTTCAGTCTGTTTTTGTGATTTGATAAGTACAGATTTTGCCCATGCCATAGCCTGCTTGAACCTTAACCTAGCCCTCTTCTAGGAATGTTCAAGGATTCAAAAACCATATTAGTCTCCATAAACCTCCCTAAATAAACAATTTATCTAAATTGACCAAATTACCCCTTGAAAACACTGATAATTACTAATGAGAAAACTTAAGATGTTACACATGGCACGACACGAGCACATCACATTAGTATGGTAAAGGTGTAAATTTAGCCATAAACTATTTTTTGAGGAGCACTGGGTAGCATCTATAATAAAAAAACAAACTATCTAGCACATTTCTCTCAATTTTGATTAAACACCATTTATTTTCATACTTATGAGACCCACAAAGTATTAATCTCTCAAATTTTCTTACCTTCGTTCTCACTCTCAGCTCGAGAAGAAGAGGTTTAAGGAGTTTTTATTTGAAGACAATAACAAAGATGACGCTAATAAAGTAGAAAAAATAATTTATGGCTAAAGTAGTAAAATCAAGGTTCTACTTTATTGGCATCATCCTTGTGAATATCTTCATATAAGAACTCTTTGAATTACTTTTTCTTGAACTGATACTGAGAATAAAGACAAAAAGATTGAAGAGATTAATATTTTGCGGGCCTTATAAGTATGAAAATTAATGTGTTTGATCCAAATTGAAGAGAAGGTGTTGCATAATTTTTTTTTATAGTAGAGGCAACCCAATGCTCCTCAAAAAATAATTCATGACTAAATTTATACCTTTACCATGTTGACGTGTTGTGCCACATGTCATTGTACGCCTCACATAATGTTCGTTAGCTGAAGTTAATGGTGGGCTACTGAATACTCCATTTTTAAAAGTTCATGATTTATTTTACACCATCTAATAGTTTAAGCTATCAGATGCTCCTCAAAAAATAATATATGGCTAAATTTACTATTTTATCCTTTTAATAACTAGAGTGCATGCTCATGTCAGTGACTTTAGGTTTCATAATAATTATAAACAATTATATGTAATTTGAACATATAGATGGCATGTAAATTAGTATGTGAAAATTTACATATAATATCTAACGAATTATGTGTAACAAAAATACACAGGGAACACACCAATGCCCTTGCCTTTAAATTACATGTAAACGACTATGGATTACATATAATTTCATAGATGAAGAGATTCATGAACATAGTTGAGCAAAAATTACATGTAATATCTACTGAATTATATGTAAATCAAAGGCACGAGAGCATGCCACTATCAATGCTCTTGAATTACATGTAAATGACTATGGATTACATGTAATTCAATATATGAAGAAATTAAAAAGCATGCATGAGGATAATTTACATGCAATATCCACTGGATTATATGTAAAAAAAAAAAAAACACACACACACACACACGTGCGTGCACACAAAAGCACGCCACTATTAATGCCCTTGAATTACATGTGAACAACTATGAATTACATGTATTTCCATTGGTATAATAAATGCTCCCAACTTGGACCCTAAGCCAAACTTCTTACATTCTAAACCAAAAGCCTTACTTTCAAGCCAGAACACTTACATCCTAAGTCAAATCCCTTGCATCTTAAGCCATAACTTTTGTACCCAAGTCAAAACTCTTATAATAAAGTTAGAACCTTTGCAATCAAGCTAGATCCCTTACATCATGGCCGAATTTTATGCCTTTTTAATGTATTTTTTAATTAACATAAAAGATTAGTTTGATAATTTGTTTGTATTGTTTAATGAATAAAATATTCAGCTTGGTCCTTCAATTTGGTTTAATCCTTGGGCATAATTTATCTCTCAACTAAAAATCGCTTCCAAGCAAACAAAATTCAAAAATTTCTATTTCCATTCCATGAAAGGCATATGAAAGTACCGAACTGGCATAATGCGAAACCTCGTATGATGAGTCCCCAACTAAATATTGCCGAAAGTGAATTGTCAAGGCATAAAGCATTTTAATTAAAAATAATAATAAATCACTCCTTAAATTTTTGATTCAATAATACCATAGACATTGAAGTTGTTTATTATATAAATTATTTATTTAACTTTTAAAAATGATGTAATTTGACTTTTGTCATTAACAAAAGTTAATTTTAACATTAGTTAATTAGAAAATGACACAAAAATTACAAAAAATGTGAAAAATTGTAAAAAAGAATAAAAACATTTTAGAAAAAGATAAAAAAATTTGGTCACTTTTGTAATTTTTGATGTTCCTTTTTATCATTTTTTGGCTAACTAACATCAAAGTTAACTTTTGTAAATAGCACAGGACGATCAGATTGTATCATTTTCAAAAATTTAAGAAAAAAATTTACACAATAAATAAGTTCAAAATTTATGATGTTATTGGACTTAAGGTTTAAGAAGGTAATTTGCTCATTTACTTTTAAAAAAACTCAAATCTTGTTAAAAAATAATTTTTAAGTACTTGTCAATTTTTAAGTGATGCCTTGCTTATCAATTTTTATGATATTTTTGTAAAATGTTGATTCTTATTGAAATGATTAAATAGAGATTAAAAAGAGAAGGGAGGTGAGTGTATAAAAATAATTTTATAATTAATTCTAATATATATAAAGGGAAAATGTTTCATACACTTAATTTTTTTCATACCTTTTCCTTTTATAAAATTTATCATAAATTTTTTTAATAAATCATTGTAGAATTATAATTATAAATAATTATTTTTTATATTTTTGATAAATACAGTTAATGATATAAAATTACAAAACATTTTTCCATCTTTCATATATATATATATATATATACACTCCCTCAATTAAAAAATGTAAGGTATTTTTAATATTTCAAGATATAATTAATATATTTTTCTCAAAAATGCCCTCAATTTAAAAATAAAAAAATCTTTTAACTTTCACACGATTTGATATTTCCAACACATGAAAGAGAGAAAGTAAACTCAAGCATAAACTAGAGAGAGAGAGAGAGTATGAAAGAGATAGAGTACATGTAAGTATGAAAACAAAGCAAACTCATGCTTTCTACAACCAAGTTGCTAATATAGTTTCGTGATTTATTTATTTAAACTATTTAAAATTTAAAATTAAGGGTAAAAATAAAAGGTAGTGATAGTTGTAAGATAGTTAAGGGTGTGTTTGGTTTTCAGTTTGACAAAAATTCATTTAGTAAAAATCAATTTAGTAAAAATTAGTTATTGTAATGAAATTTGTGTTTGGATACATTTATTTAAAAGTCAATTTAACAAACTAAAAGTTATTTGAATAATATATGATAGAAAGTGCTTTTAAATGTGTAATTACTAAAAAAGACAAATTTTATCATATGTGATTTTTTTATGTTAATCTTGATTTATTAAAAAATATATAATATTTTTATTTGCATTTAAAAAAAATATTAACAAAAGACAACATGGAAAAGAGTTGATTAAAAATTTTAACTCTCACATTTGAAATGCCAAAAGCAACTCTCCCTAACTTTTTGGAAAAATACTTTTAATGCTAAAATAAATACTTTTAGAATGTACATTTAAAAATAAAATGTTAGGCAAACAACTTTTATTTTCTAAAAGCCACAAAAGTCTTTTTGAAATGTAGAAAGTGAAATATCAGGCACTAATTAATTTGTGAATTCAGTTAAAAAAATTATATATATATATATATACACACACGTTATGTTTTAGTGAGAGCCTGTGGAAATTTCAAGTGGTGTAGGTCCAAAATAAATTTGAAAGGCCGAACTAGAAAAAATTGATTAAAAGATTCTCGGAGAGTTTTGAATTCAAGTTCAAGCCTGATCTTGCAACGGTCATCTTGCAGCGGCCTCAGAACAAATTGCTTGAAGTGAAGCCTTAACCATACCCATCAACGGCCACCGTAGGTTCACAGATGGAGGTGTGTGAAATTTACAGTGAAGCTGAAGGGTCCGATCCTGATCCTTTTTCGGATGATTTGGAAGGAGATCCCGATTTTGACGTAACCGAAGAAACCAAGAGCAAGTTTTCCAACCTATCAATTGAAAAGAAGGCGGCTAAGACGAGGTAATTTTCTGGTTTATTTGACATTTCATTAGTAATTTGCTTTTCGTTTCAGTATGTAATGATTCCGTCATGTCCAGTATTTTTTATGGTGAGGTTTCGCGGACGGAGATTTACTCAGAAGAGCAGAAGACTGAGCCCGGTCATGATGAGGAAGTACAAAATATCATAGAAGGTTAGTTTATTGACCTATTAACCTATTTATATATATATATATTGGCCTTTTGGATTGCTGAAGGAAATATAATGTTGAAAGATGCTTTGGTTTCCTGTCACTTGAATCTGATCGGATATATCATTTCGCTACCTCAAAAAATTTTCCGTTAACCTCCAATACTTCCGTGTTCTTGAACCTGACACAAGCTGAATAAATTTTGGAATCCTATACAGGTACTCTATTTTCTTATTGTGAATGTCCCGTTTCCTCTCATTTTGTTTCTTTTTTCTAAGTGCAAAGAGCCATTATCTGGCGAAAAACATGTCTCTGGTATTGTTAGGAAGTTGCCTTCCATTGGGCTACAACAATACAGGTGCATTTAACAATTAAAAAAGAAGGATAGTATTAATTTAGGACATAACTGATGCTCGGATTTACTAAACAAAACGTTGATGTTTATCCTATGATGAATTTTCTTGATGTTAATATTTCCTCACATGCCTGTCATTGTTTGATTGACAGCGGGAGAGTTGGAGAAACTAAAAGTACCTGAATGCAAGCTGTATCTGAGGAAGAATGGGCTGAGATTGACAGGAAACAAGGACACACTCATTCAGAGAATTCGGGAGCATCTAGAGTAATGATCATTTTATACAGACGACGCAGTCGTTTTGGGGAAAAAAAATAAACGGTTTTTCTGACTTTGTTGGATTTCCAGGATTACAAATGGCGGAGGGGAGTGGAAGTACCCGCCTTCTAGCTTTGTTCAGAATTGTAAAGGTAGAGATTTTTGGGGACTGATTTGTTCGATATCTTGATATCAATATGGGCAGAACCTTTGAAATTATAGAATTATTCTGCACCGATGCATGTTTAAAAGCAAAACCATGATGCCGCAGTATACATTTTCAACCGACATAGGTTTTCAGGGAGTATCACTTCAACATAGTTATATACGCTTTTTTTAGTAATGTACAGTCATGGTTGCCATTCTTTGTTTTAATATCCGGTCAGCCTTATCTTTTTCTTTTGCTCTTTGTTTTTGGTTTATGATATGAAGATATGGCTTCCATTTTGTGTTTTAATATCTAGAAGGCACTGTATATTCAAGGCTTGAACCAATCTGTCTTGTGTATTGGTCTTGATATTTGAATAATCTCCACTTCAGGCTTCAAAATCTGAAGATTTGATTGCTTCATGCAGGTGATGCATGCACCGGTGATGTTGTTCTGTTTGAGCAAAATGTCTACGAAACGTAAGCTTTTCGTTTTGTTTTTCAAATTTTCTTCTAATTCATCATGATCGTTAAAGTAAATTACTACAATTTGTCGACGGTTATTTTGAATGAGCACGGCATCATATTCTCCCTCATGAAGCTTTATTTACAGCTACAGAACATTATAACGCCCGGTTCCTTTCTTGCCTTATTTGGAATAAAAAGGAATAAATGATGTTGATGAAAATGTTTAGTAATAATTATCGTCTTCTTCCAGTTGCCTTATCTGAATTTTTTTCTCTAATAAGATATCCGAAGTGATTTTTTCAGGTTCAGCATAGCATCTAGGAGTGCCAGTGGTCCACCTTGTGGCAAGAGGATTGTTGCAGGTCGTATAGTGAAGGAAAGCTATGGTGCTGAGAAGCAGCAGCATACATTTACGGTGAGAAAATGTTTCTCTTAAAATGAATAACCACCTTTATGGTTGTTAATACAAGTCATCAATAATAAGTGCATGGCAAATAAATAAATGTAGTATATTTCTCATGAAGTAGGAAGATTATCGCTGTTTTGGATGCCACTATGAGCGAGTGGCTATCTCTTATCATCTGTTCCTTTTTGTAACTATTTGCATATGTTATTGCCTCTTCGGATACAGATTGAGGTACTGTGGAGCAAGGGAGAGAAGCCTCTTCCTCCACTCTATCCCCTGCTGATCAAGGGTCGAAACCTTTATAGGTTGAAGACTCTGAGACAGGTTCCTGTTTTGCCAGCATTTCTTCTTTTGCCATCAGTTAATTGCTCCTTGTCCATTTTAATTGATGAGTCGATGTCTTTACCTTCAGAGATGGGATGATGAGGGGGCAAGGCGGAAAATTTTGACGGAAAAACACTCGAGGGGAGATGTTGCAAGGGCCAACAGAGAAGCAAGGAAACAAGAAAAGGAGAGGAGAAAATCAATCAGGGAAAACAGGTATGCTAATTACCAAAACAATTTGATTCAAGTTACAAATAGGGAATAAAGGATTTAGTCCATAAAAATACCAAACTTGTTGCATTATAGTCCTAACAAAATGGCAAAAGAAATCCTTTTAAAAAGATCAAGCCACTTGACCAAAAAAAAAAAAAAAAGTCTAACAAACAGAAATTCAGTAATGAATATCAGGATATTATGTAGATATCCATTACCTCAGATTCTCTAATATCTTTCGGTTACTATAATATTTTTAATTATTATTATTTTATATATTTTATTTAATTTAATTGATATGTTTGTGCCTATAAATATAAGGGTTGTATTCTATAAGTTGAAATGACAAAGTTCTCAATTCTCCCATCATCTTATTCTCTCATTATAGTTCTCCTTTTCTCAAATTCTATTTTCTTAACACGTCTTCTGTGTTTTCTTTTCTTTTTTTTGTTTTTTTTTTTGCCTTGTTTGGTCAGGGTTTCCAAAAAGGAGTTATCAAGTAATCAAGCTCAATCACATCCACCCACGACCAAGTCACAGTATCAACATCAAGAATCAAGATGCATCAATCCAGCAAACCAATCTCAATCACATCCACCCACGGCCATGTCACAGTATCACCATAAAGAATCAAGACGCATCAATCCTGCAAACCATTCTCAATCACATCCACTCACGACCATGTCACGGTATCAACATCAAGAATCAAGATGCATCAATCCACCAAAACCAAAATTTTTCTTTGACCCAGGCGAAAGGATTGCAACAAGGCCTGACCATTTCAAAGAGAAACTCATTATTAATGAGAACTACCCTTGCAGTGCTGTGACAAACAGGTTTGCAGAAGGGACTTACCGTAGAAAACCTTTTACGAGTGCAAATCACTTGTTTCCGTCGACCCTAAATAGAGAAACCTTTAAGCAAAAGCAACCTTGCAAATATTATGCCCAAGGGAGGTGTCATTTTGGAGACAACTGCAAATTTTCACATGGTGTGAGATCATAGCTTTCCCCTCCTGTCCCCCCCCCCCAAAAAAAAAAAAAAAAAAAAGAGATGTGAGACTAGAGCTTGATCATATGTAAATAATTGCTGCCTGCTTCATTGAACTCAAAAAATGAAAGCTACGCAACCCAAAATGAGGAGAGTCCCACTCAGCAACGACAAGAGGACATTGAACCTAAGCAGGGCCTTAAACGAAACCAGGTCACAACGACAGGTACTTGTGCGAAGTTAACATTGAAGCGTCACTATTTGAAGTTCAAAGGTTTGTCCTAATTTCAGGAGGGACTTACGTAGTGTTAGGTACACTATATGCCTAAGTTAGATTCCATAGCATTTAAAGTTGCAAATACTTTGTATGTTGCTATGAGTGCTGGCATATAGAGTCAAACTTCTGTGGTTATCAAATGTCAATTTTGCTGATCACTTTTTTTAGTTATGATTGGACGATGCACCATGTAATGTAGCTTTACCCATTCAAAATTTGGTCTTGTGAAGCTTATCTCATTAGTTGATCAGTTACTTTTTTGGTATATTACTCTGTAAAAATTTTATTCTCCAGTGATATAAAATTTTCATATATAATTCCTGATCAGGCCTTCTTTTGAGTCGGCATACAAATACTTTAAGACGATGTCTATCTGAAATTCTTTTCAAGATAACAAATGAAGGTTGTTATCAAATTTATCTGTAATGACAATTTTCATAAAAAAATAATTAAAGACCAGTCTTGTTCAATAACGTACCAAAGCATAATAATATTACTTTGACATGAACGTTGCTTTTTTTTTCCTTGAATTGATGATGAAAAAAATGTTCACGTATTAGATAAATAAAAATTTTAAAATTCATAAATTCAACTTGCATAACACGTGAAAAAAAGCCCCCCGTTTATCCCCCGATTTATTGTAGTTATTGGTATACTACAGTATGTAGATTCTTTTTCTTGATAAATGTGTGTATCAAGATGAGCTGAGATGATAACTCACATTTACGGTTAACAAAAAGTTGAGAAGACAACATAGTTTGGACTTCGGTGGAGAGAGCGAGAAATCATGGTTTCTCCAAAGAAACGCGAACCGATTATTACGGTGTCACCAACAGTTTAGTAAGTGTGAATTTAGATTAAAAAATTTTCAATAAGTTAGAATGAATTTAGGTTAGCAATTGAAATTAGGATAAAAATTTGTGTGACTGCGACATAATTTATATTTGAATATATTTTTTAAAAAAATTAGTTGAACAAATTCAAATTGATTTAAATAATTTTATTCAGAAACCTGTAGAAATGTTAATGATAAAAATGAATGTGAATTTTTTGGTATATATTTTGTGTCTACTTTAATATTTTTTCTAAAAATATTAAACTTAAAATTATAATTTTTAAAAAATTAGATTAAAATTACAATTTTACATATGATTGGTTGGATTGAATAAATTTCAATTAGATAAAATTCAAATTTATATTAGAAAAAAAGGATCTTTCATTTTTAATTATATTCTATTTATTTTTATTACATTTTATGATTATTTTTTTCATAACTTGATATTCTGGGAAAAAAATTGACCTTTAAATTACAATTTTTTTAAAAATTCTACATATAATTAAGTATTATTTACAAATTATAAAAATGTTGAATAAATTCATAAATTACAAATAATAAATTATAAAAAATTTAAAAAATAAATTGATAAATAATAAAATGTTAAATTCTAAAAACTAAAATAAATTGATAAAACATAAAATATTATATACAAAATTTAAATTAAATTGATAAATTGGTAGACATATTTTACTATAAAAGTGTCAGGAAAAAAATATCGTAAAATCTGGGTCATGAATGATTCGATATCGTATAATATTATATCCACTGTACCCTTAGGGGGGAAAAAACATTATCCACTGTACCACTCGGAGAGAGAAATCTGACAAGAAGTTAAAAGGTATATTCACCGATGCATGTTGAAAAGAGAAGCTCCTTCATATATCAAACTATTTATTCAGGCAATCTTATGATTGGGAGTTGGTTAAATATTTTTTTTTTAAGAAAAAAAATCTTATGATTCGGACAATGACTCACCATTGAGCTGCTAAGTTTTAATTTATATGCAAGGCAGCAATTGCTGGGTGACTGGTGAGAATATTTTTCATCTTCTTCACTTCTTTTTATCTGTTCTTCATTTACAGTTCCGTCTATTAATCGCTCTTGTTCTGTCTACTGGCTGTTCAAAAGTAGTTTAAAGGAACAGTTTCATATATAGCTGTTTCGGTTGTTCAGATTTCAGTACAGCTCTAGATACAGGTATCCCATATCTTTTTAACTAGAATAACGTACTTGACCGTACTCTAGTTCGATCGGAGTACTCTTAATTTACTCTTGTTTCTGAATTCTTTGGACTTTTTCAGCTCTGGTACAGCTTTTTATTTTTAATTTTTTTTGCCGCATAGTTTTGCTAATTTGCTTGAGACCAATGGGAACTGAAACTATCATTATGTATGTCAAAAGTATTACTATTCGCTGAAATTAGGTCATGAACTTAAGATCTGTTCTTTTTCTAGGCGTGAATTAACTATAATCGGTAAATAAACCAAGTAGATGATCAATTTGTGGTGGTCCTGGTGGACACATATTTTTCAAGTTATGAATACCGAGATCTTTGACCAGGTTTCTGATAACATTTGTTTCATTGCAAATGAAGTAAGATTATGAGGAGATGCATGCATGTTCCCCTTTTTTTTGGCCTGGAAAAAGATTGCTGTGAATGATCAACAGTATTTTAACCCATTTCGTTCTTCTCCACATCAGTGTTTTAAGAAGAATTACAAGTTGGTCAAAAAAGCTAAGGTACTAAGAATTACAAGTGGTGTGAACTGATAGGTGTAAAATTTTCAGGGAAAATGGCACCTGAGCCAGTTAATGTTAGGGAGTTCCAGCAATTGGCTAGAGAGGCCCTGCCAAAAATGTATTATGATTTCTATGCTGGTGGAGCTGAGGACGAGTTCTCACTGAAGGAAAATATGGAAGCATTTCGTAGAATTACGTACTATTCTTCACTTGATGATGTTCTGATTGTAGTAAATAGAATTAGCATATACTGATGGTTGTTTTTTTCTTTGTTGGTTTCTCACTTCTCAGCTTACGACCAAGAGTTCTAGTAGATGTTAGTAGAATAAATATGTCTACGACTTTACTAGGATATAGAATCTCCGCACCAATTATGATTGCTCCTACTGCCATGCATATGTTGGCTCATCCTGAAGGTATGAATTCTCAGAAAGATGTTGTTATCATTTTGCATTCATTCACCTTCCATTTCCATCATGTAATTTATTTTATTTTTCTGCCATTCATCACTACAGGAGAGGTTGCCACAGCCAAAGCAGCAGCTGCTTGTAATACTATAATGGTATATTTATTAAATAAAGCCTCATCACTTGCTCAGACACTATGCTGACTTGCTGAAAGTTTACACGTTTTTTTTTTTTTTAAAGATTCTGTCTTTCATGTCTACCTGCACTGTGGAGGAGGTTTCTTTGAGCTGCAGTGCTGTTCGGTTCTTCCAGCTCTATGTAATGCTCTCAAATAATTCGGATTTCAATTTCTTGCTACATCTTTGTGCCAAGATTCATAACCTCTTTCCTTTTTAAATATCATTTGTTGAATTTAAAATTTAATTTTCAATAGGTTTACAAAAAGCGAGATGTGACAGCTGCATTAGTGGATAGAGCTGAAAGGCTTGGATATAAAGCCCTTGTTCTAACTGCTGATGTTCCTCGACTTGGTCGAAGAGAGGCAGACATAAGGAACAAGTAATTGGTGTTTTTTTGGTTGTATATTCTATATTCCCTCCTAATAAGTCTAACAACTTGCAAAAGCTAATATTGATTTGTTTGTTGGGGTGGATTAAATACATTGTATATGAAGATTGATGCAGCAAGCTATCTCCTAATGTTGTTGGAATGTCCTCTGCAGAATGATTTCGCCTAAATTAAAGAACTTCGATGGCTTGTTTTCAGCTGAACATGAGTCTGTAAGTAGCAATATCAGTATTCCGTATGACTGAATTTTCACCTTTCGTGTGTCATCTGTCAATTCCAGCGGCAATTGCATCCGTTAATATTCCTGCCTCATCTTGTAAAAATGTAATAGGTTATCTATCATTTCAAAACATACGTATTTTTTTAATCATTCGAAGTTTTTCTTCAACAAAATTACCAAAATCATGGGCCTCACAAAAGTAAATATCTTTCGTGCAATGTTGAGGCTCATATGATATAGAGTAGTTTTGTTATCGGTAGAAATTTTGAAAAATAAATTGAAACAATTAGAAATCCTTCTGTTGTCAATCATTATATTGAGCAAACTCTAACTCTACTATCATTAAAGGAAGAGTTGGACACCAATTTAAACATCTTGATTGACATGTATTAATAATCATGAATCAAGCTCTTCCCTCATCCTCTTTCTTAAGGCTATTGCTCTTTTGTGGCTTTCCATCCTAGACGTAAACATCAAGGCATAGTAATCCTGCTTCAAACTTACATCATTTAAAGGGAAAAAGGTACATTGGGATCGCTTGGATTTCCCTGATTTAATAAGATATAGGTGAATGTCATGTTATCCAAATGTTTGTGCCCAACTCTAAGGATTATATGAAAACCAATTATTATTTCCATATTTGCTCAACAAGCTTTAGAGAATTTACTGGCAGGTAGGTTGTGAGGGGGAACCTTGGTTCAGTGACAAAGTTGTCAACGTTTGGCCTAGTGGTCATGGGTTCAAGTCATGAAAATGGCATCTTGCAAAAATATAGGGTAAAGCTGCATAAGAGACATAAATTGGGTCCGACCCTCCCCAAACCCCACGTATGGCGGGAAGTTCATGCAGGGGGCTATCCCTTACTGGTAGGTAGGTTACCTAGATCAGTTCACTATTAGGATATAAGATGAGGTAAATATGACCCAAACACAATGCATCAACTTAATTATGGTATGCAATATCCTGCGTCTGCTTTTCCCATTTCCCATCTTACCTTTCTCCTTTCAGAATATGCTGGAGAAATCAATCTGGGACTTGTGTTAAAACGTTTATTTCTTCAGTTATTTATCTTTAATTTTCCACTAAGATTGTCAAGAGATCAATCTGGGCCTTGTATATGAAAATGTGGGCACGCACGCACATAAAGAGACATGCTTTATGTGTTTGCATCCATGCGTGGTATAATTCTGTCCTAGAACTACATTTATGGGTTTTATTGGATGAAATTGTTAATCTTGCTTTTAACTTGCAGGGTAATGGTTCAGGTTTGGAAGCTTATGCAAATCTGACACTTGATGCATCGTTGCAATGGAAGGTATGGATAAGAATTAGGCGAGAGTTCAGATTTCCCTTTTCATACAATTGGAAATGTCTCAAAAGTCAGGAGATGAGCAGTGTTTTATGAAATCATTGAAATGGCCTAAAGAAAATTTACTTTTATCTAAAGAAGCACAGAAGCACACAAAAAATTCTATTCGATAGAAAATCTCATGAAAATTTTGAACTCCTTAAACGTTTGTTTAACAAGCATCACTCTGAGGATATAATCAAATTAATCATGTTTTTTACTCAACGGGGCTGATTTTCGAGCTTCAGCATCTTTAAGTTCTGCAGTACCCAATGAAATTAAACCGGAGTAACATATTTTCAGGAAAACTACTGATCTAGTGTAATGAGCGCGGTGAAATGGCTTAGCTGATTGTCTCTGGAGGCTTGATGCCTAAAGATGTCATCATAATTGTTGATGGTGAAGATCTAAAACAATTGTTTTTATGCACTAATAGAGCACCGCATTGTCTGCAGGATATGGCATGGTTGAAATCTATTACGAATCTGCCAATTCTTATCAAGGGTATACTTACTGGTGAAGATGGTATGTAAAAGTTTAGTGCATGTACTCTGCTTGATGATTCATTTTACGAAGAATTGGCTAAACCCTTTAAAAGACAGGCTTTGAGAACTTTGCGATTTAATGCGAAAAACATTGATTCATATCTCTTAGAAATTCAGACATAGAAATCCTTCTGCTGATTAATTATTATCTCTTGGTGATGCTTCTGCCTATATTTTTTTAATGCCTTTATTAATAATGTACTTGATAGTTCATTCTCATCTTTCTTGTTGACCTCTTTAATCTGGATATTAGTTAATATGTAATGGAATCTTATTGGCAGCTATTAAGGCGGTCGAAGTAGGCGTTGCTGGTATAGTCGTCTCAAATCATGGAGCCCGCCAGCTTGATTATTCCCCAGCCACCATTTCTGTTCTAGAAGAGGTGATTCTTGATATGAGATCTGATAAAATAAATTTAATATAATTTTTCTTCTAATCTTCAAAGCATATGGGTTTTTGCTCACCAAAAAAAAAAAAGGGGGATTAATATGGAAAATGTAGCTGCTTTAGTTTGATGTGATTGTAGCCAAAAACTGCTGCTGCAACAGGCGATTTTGTATGCCATTTAGAACCATGGCGCAAAAACTGTTATGTAATGAACAGCACTCGCAGTTGCAAAAGTAGAAATTAAATTTATGCATTCGCTTGACATAAGTTTTTATTTTCCCAGTACATGATTGACATTATTTTTTTAATTGATTGACATTACAATAAGGGAAAATTTGGAAAACATTCTTTAATGCTTTATCGATCCTCCAAAATACCTAATGCCAAAGACAAAACTTGCTTCTAAAATTTGCCTTGTACATAGGAGTAGAGGAAGTAGAACATAAAATCTATAGCAAACTGTACTACTCATGAGCTACAAACAGTGCAATTCATTCATCAAACTGTGCAATGAACGGGGTCAGATATCTAATAGTATAAATATAGTACTTGGCATGTTTCCAGGTACAGGAAAGAATACATTTGGGGTTCAAAAGGATAAATAAAAGTAGAAGGCATAAAGGAAACCTGATTTAATCTAGGTTGTTAGACGTGTTTGCTATGCCATGCAGTTAAAAATTAAAATACCGTGCTTGAAACAAATTGACCTGCGAGTATCAGTGGGGTTTAGTACGTCCAGTATAATTTACATTGGCACCCTACGAATGCAGGTGGTGCATGCTACCAAAGGTAAAATTCCTGTGCTTCTCGACGGTGGTGTGCGGCGAGGAACAGATGTATTTAAAGCTTTAGCCCTCGGTGCACAAGCTGTCCTTGTAAGCTCTTAAACCCCAGCTGATAAATTTATCTTTTGTAACCCGTGTTCTGTGTTCAAGAATCCTCCTACTTGCTACGGAACCATTTGCAGAGTACATGCGCTAGACTTTTACATTCCACGAGTTAACTCCTCTTTTGGGTACGTTTGAGAGTTGAGATGTAGGAGAAGGGCCCAGATCAGATTCACTGATATAATGTAACCTATTATATTCTTTAGATATCGCATTTCTCAAGTGAGAATAAAATTCCAGAAGTGAAAAAAATTCAAAGAAAAAGGGAAGGAAGATAAGGATGAGGAATCGATAGTCAAATGATAATTTTCCTTCCTGCTATTTGGGAAAAAGGTCTCCTCCATAGTCTCCCAATTCAAAAGAACTTTAAAATACACAAGGGGAGGACTGTGGAAGATTTTGAAAGGTCGGTTGAAAGTCCGTCATTATTTTTCCTTTATTTCTAATTACTCCCAAATAAGTGAAAGGTTTCAATGAGACCGTCCCTCTCCTCCCTCTCCATTACCCCATCAATACACACACTTGATCATTAAGCTTTAAAGAAAAGCAAAGATTCAGATTAATGATCTATAATAATAATTATCTGATTATTGATATTTGAAATTTCCCTTAGATTCAATAATAACTATCATCAAATGCTGATCGATACAGGTTGGACGGCCAGTAATCTATGGACTTGCTGCAAAAGGGGAAGCTGGGGTGACACAAGTCATTGAAACACTCAAGACAGAGCTGGAGCTCACTATGGCTCTATCTGGATGCCCTAATCTGAAGGATATTACTCGGAGCCATGTTAAGACAGAGAGAGATAGGCCTCACTCAATGCTTTGATTGTGTTGTAGAGCTCTACCAACCACCCCCCCCCCCCAAAAAAAAACAAAAGAAAAAAATAAAATAAAATTGGCTTTATTGTTTCTATTTAACAAGTACATTATGTACAGGCCAAAGGGGGGAAAACAAGATTCTCATGCTGGAAATGACTCGTACGCCTTGTTCCAATGGATATATCTCCTCTGTTCTTGCATTAGTTCTATCACTGGCAAGAAAGTCATGAACCCCATCTCTGTCTTCTGTCCAGCTGCATTCTGGACTCTTGTGCATGCCTTCGTATTTCATCAATTGTCTAGTTTGAGCAAGATCATGCCATCTCCCTGCTGAAGAATATAGATTCACTAATAGGACGAAGTTCGCAGAACAAATAAAAGTTGGTCAAGTTGCGGGACCAAATCCCACTCTTGATGTAAGGGTTTTATTGGTGAATAATCTGTATTTGAACCTAAATGCGTGCTAAAGAATTAACAAGCTTTCAGAACTCAACTCATCTTTGTTATTGTTGAGAAAATATATTGGTTTTTTATAGTTCCATCAAGTTTTATTTTTAATTCTTATAGTTTTTTTTTTAATGTTTTAAATTTTTATAAACAACAAACAAACAAACAACAACAATTCTTTATCTCACTAGGTAGGGTCGGCTACATGGATTGCAAGACGCCATTGGATGACATTTTTATAGTTTTTAAATTTTTATAGTTTCAAAAAAATTAGATGACATTTATTTTTAAAGTCTCTATATTTTTAATTTTTTTTTCGGTGTTTTTAGTTTTTATAAGGAATGAAAACATTTAAAAAAAATAAATAAATTAAAAATAAAATTTGATAAAACTATAAGGATTAAAAATTATATTTTTTCTTTGTTTTGTTTTTCTTTTAATAGAAGGAATATAACTTGCAGTGTTATTAGGCTCCGAATCTAAGATATTTTGAGCTGCAATTTCTCCAAGGGCAATTTCACCGTTAATAAAACTACCTCCAAGCAGAGAACTCCACGTCACAGAATGAGCTTCTTTTGGCATTTTCTTGACACCATTGAGTTTGCCTGCACGGCTCAAGAGGACAATCATACATGTATAATGCTTTGATGTGGGCGTCAAGCTGTAAGTATCCATCGGTGAAAAACATTCACGACCCATCCCAATTGATCCGCAAGAACGCATAAAGAAAGAACTGACAGAAAAGTTATGCCATCTGGTCTAACTTGGCTAGCTAACATTTCGCGAAAATGAGCAATTCCTTTATCCCCATGTCCATGCGTGGCATAAGTAGTAAGAATAGCATTGTGGGACACCGAATCAGGGTTTACACTATGGCAGCTGCAACGTGAACATCAGAATCGTGCCCGGCCCTAATTGAATATGCATGGAATGGCTTTCCTCGGTGGATGAAGGCCAACTTAGAGCGTGCTGTTAAAATTAGTCCATGTATGTCTGGTTTCAAATTTGAGTTCTGCATCTCAGTGAATAATTGAATTGCTGAATGGCTATTTTCCACACCCCCAGCTAAAATACCATTTCAAATATTCACATTGGACATCAAGACCGTAACATGTCTTCAACACCACAGGGAACGAAAAGAAGTCTAATTGAACATCTCGTATAGCAGCTCTTGAAAAAGAAGAAGCACTTCCTCAAAGAACCCATGATCAACATAAACATTCAGGATAGCTGTCCAAGAATACACGTTTCTAAGCGGCATTTTGGCGAACACCAAACTCGCATCATGTAAACAGCCAGTGCTACCATACATCCGAAGCAACTTGTTTTCAACAAATTCATGCTCTTGAAACCCAGTCTTGATGGAGTGAGCATGCACCTGTTTGCCCAAACTCGGGCACACGCAAGATTCGAATATAAAGGCGCAAGTGGTTGAGTTCACAGGTTGATCTAGTTTGAAGAAATGGGATTAGAAGGATTTTGAGGGGCTGGAAGGACAGGCAAGGTTGCTTTGTTCGCTTGGATGAAACATGAGAACGATAACTGAACTGTTTTGGATCAAGTGGGTGATATATGGACGGCAGATATCTCGTAGAGAGAGAGAGGTATGTAGACAGCGGAGCGTAGGGAGAGGATTTGGATCCATGCATATGTACGCAAGTGTATGGTATATACATGATAGTGCATGAACTACTATTTTAGGCAATCATTGTGATTGGTACAGTGGCCCACCAGTGAAGTGGTAAGTTTTATCCAAGGCATGAAGCATATCATTCACGTGACTCCTCCTTGTCTGTTCTTCATTTGTAGTCCCATCTATTTATTGCTCGTACTCTGTCGACTGGCTGTTCGAAATTAGTTTAAAGGAGAAGTGCCTTTGGGTCGTTCAAATTTCAGCACAGCTCGTGGATTTTCAGCTCTGATTTACAGGTATCTCATGCCTACTTGATCGTATTCTTAGTCAACCGGATTACTCTTAATTGCTCTGAGTTCTCTATTCTTTGGACTATCTAAGCTCTAACTTGCTTGAGACTGATGTTAATTTGCACAATACCCAATGCGCTTAACCAGGTTATTCTCTGGGTCGGATGGCTGGGAAATATCTTTATTTGCTTTGTCAGTTAAAAGATGCAAAGTTTTCCAATTTGATCCCCCACTTTCAATGCCTCTCTACCTATTATCAATTTAGCTCTTTCATCAACTCCCACTGCGCTTTTTTTTTTTTTTTGGGGTTAAATTATTGCTGTATGCAGACGAAAGATACATGTGCCCATGAACAGTTAAGATACGTCAGAAAAAGTGGTTGTGTCAATAATTTGACTAGGAAAGTGTGATTTAAATGAACTAGTGGATTATCAATTTTGCGGGGCTCCTGGGCTCCCGGCGGGCATTTATTTTTCAAGCTATGAAGATAGATCTATCACAACGTTTCTGATAACAATTGTTTCAATGCAAATAAAGTAAGAATAAGACTATAAGGAGATGCACACCGGTCCACTTCTAACATCCCAAATTTTACTCATAAAATTTAAGTAATATTAAGATAAGATTTATTAAGTAAATTAGTATTCAAAGTAACTTAATTTATGTTGGCTAAGGTACAGGGACACATAAGATTATGATTTAATGAAATATAATATGAGATTGGAGAAAATCTTGATGAAGATTAATTGATTCTAATTATATTCTTAAAGCATTAGACTATTATTTTATGAATAAAAAGTACAACAGTAAAGACAGTAAATATATGCTTTGATTTGAATTTATTGAATTACTTCAACGTGATTGAATTTTATTATGTGATTATTTGAGTAAATAATTATCTAAGAGTTATATATTTTAAATGAAAATTCAATAGAACTATGTAAATTATTTCCATTTAAGAGGCTAATCATAAAAGAATTGTGTTTGAGCATACTAAAGAAGTAGAGTTTAATTTTTTTAAAAGATATTAAGAGAATCATAAAAAAATATATATATATATATATATATATATATAGGTAAACAAATTTTTAAAGATTATTGAATAAAAGGAAGAAGATTGAAAAAAATGAAGATGAGGTTTGTTGTCAAATGACAACATCCGGCGTGAATTTTCGACGCGTTCCATTTCTTCATCTAACGTCCAATTGAGAATATCTAGGTGTTTATTAAAAGCTTTCTTCAAACTCTAACTGATGGCACTGATTTTGCATTCATTCAAATAATATCTTAAAAAAAAGTTGGACACCTATTTTTTAACTCACTCCTTTTACAATCAAAACACAATTTGGGTGTCCAATTTTACTTCAAGTGCTAAAACTAGAGTTGGTAATTCGGGCGAACCAAACTTATTCAGGTTGAGCTCAATTCAGGTTGAGCTTATTGAGATTAGGTTTGAAATATCCTACCCTCTTAAAAAAATCCATGTAGCCAAGCCTACCCCTAATATTTTTTGGCCGGATTCGGTTGGCCGGTTGGACTTGGCCAAAATTGCCAACTTTATAATATATAGAGTTAAAAATTTTAATAGTTGGGTTTATTTAGATCGAACTTAAAGTATATACCCTTTTAAAAAAACTTATATAACCAAGCTCGGTCCTAAATTTTTTTGAACGGATTTGAGCCGGCCCATTGGGCTTGGCCCAAATTACCGACTCTAACTAAAAGCATAAATTTAACCCTAAACCATACTCAATAGGCCACCAGAACACATACACATACACAATTATCAATATCACTTGTAAAGTACATCCATTCGTCAGACAATCAGTAACATTAGCTGTTAATTTGCTAAATTTACTTGTTTATTTACTAACGTCAATTGTAAATTATAAGACTTGTCAGTAATTTATAATTAATGTTAGTAAATTATAAGGTCTGTCAATAATTATAACTGATATTAGTAAATTAACAAAATTAACAATTGAATAATTGATATTGCTGTTTATGATTAAAAAATTAATGTCAAATCTTATATAATTATTAACATATCAACTCATGCAATTTGTAACTAATCATATTCATAAATTAACAAATAGAGTAAGAAAATTAACAACTAATGATTCTGTCTTATTAGGAATTACAAGTTGTGTGAACTCATAGTTGTAAAATTTTCAGAGAAAATGGCACCTGAGCTGGTCAATGTTAGGGAGTTCCAACAATTGGCTAGAGAAGCTCTCCCAAAAATGTATTATGATTTCTATGCTTGTGGAGCTGAGGACGAGTTCACACTAAAGGAAAATAAGGAAGCATTTCGTAGAATAACGTACTATTATTCACTTGATGACATCTGATTGTGGTAAATAGACTGATGCTGATGGGATGCTTTTTCTATGTTGGTTTCTCACTTCTGATCAGCTTACGACCGAGAGTTCTAGTGGATGTTAGTAGAATAAGCATGTCTACTATTGTACTAGGATACAGGATCTCCGCACCAATTATAATCGCTCCTACTGCTTTTCACAAATTGGCTCATCCCGAAGGTATGAATTCATGGAAAGATGTGATTCACCTTCTATTTCCTACTTGTAAATTATTATATCTTTCTGTATTCATCAATACAGGAGAGGTTGCCACAGCCAAAGCAGCAGCGGCATGCGATACTATAATGGTATACTTAAGACAGATAGCCACATCACTTGCTCAAACACCATGCTAAATGTTTCCATGTTTTTTCTTTAAAGGTTGTGTCTTTCAATTCTAGCTGCACTGTGGAGGAAGTTGCTTCAAGCTGCAATGCTGTTCGGTTCGTCCAGCTCTATGTATTGCTCTCAAATGATTCTGATTTCAATTTTTTGCTTCATTTTTGTGCCAAATTTTACCAACTCCTCATTCCTTAAATATCGTTTGTTGAATTCAATTTTGTGATATATGTTCAACAGGTTCACAAAAGGCGAGATGTCACTGTTGCATTTGTGAATAGAGCTGAAAGGCTTGGATATAAAGCCCTTGTTGTAACTGTTGATGTTCCCCGACTTGGTTGAAGAGAGGCAGACATAAGGAACAAGTAATTGATGTTTTTTTTGTTGTATATTCTATAGTCCCTTCTAATAATCTAACAACCACTACTACAAAATGCCCCCTTACTTGACGGTTATTTTAGAAATTATTTGACGGTTTTTAACCGTCAAGTAATGAGGCGCCATATATTTATTTGACAGTTAAAAACCGTCAAATATTTTAGAGATTACTTGACGGTTATTTCAAAATAACCGTCAAATAATCACTTAAACATTTGCATATACTGCAGCAATATACTTGACGGTTATTTTAAATAATCGTCAAGTATTTAGTAATATTTGACGGTTATTTTGTAACAAGCGTCAAATATACTTTTGCAAATTCTGTGTGCCAAATAAGTATTCGTACATACTTGACGGTTATTTTGAAGTAACCGTCAAGTAAACTTATACTTGACGTTTCTTTCTAAATAACCGTCAAGTATTTATGATGTGTTTTTTTAAAAAGCAGCCCCCTATAAATACAAAGCAATCAAATATATATACTAGCCAGCCAACAATAAAAAACAATTGAATCATTATTTATATTGAAATTACAATCTAAATATCTTTAATTTATCTTATATTTACCTATACTCTAAACCCGATGCCATAAAAAAATCTATAACTTTACCTACTTTACAAGTTTAAATTTCAAAATTAATTGGCCTCAGACATAAAATTGACCAAAAAAATAAATATGTACACCAAAACTAATTAGGCCTAACCACTATTGCTATCCACATGTTAAACACAGCCTGAGCTACTTCTTCAAGGGTTTTCTCTATATGTGCAGCTGCATACTGAATACAGTAGGCATCCTCGAAGTACTGTATGTAAAGAGTTACAACAAAATCAAGTTAATAGCTATCTAACAAAAGTTGTTAAAATTTATAACTTAAGTATCATTATATTTAATATATACCTTGTTAGGTAATGTGGTAGGGGCATGGGTGATAATGTCCTTTAAGAATCTCATCAAGCAATAGCCACAGTCATTGCTCTGATCTGGCTGGAGTGGACACTGTGCAAAAAAAAATTACATATCAATAAAATAATAGTTAAAAGGCCACGATTTGTTAATTAAAAACTCAGTCCATTAGGTTTACCTTAACTGTGACCCATGTCTCACAAGAGTCCAATACCCTTAAGGTAGGGGACAAGGTCTTGTTGGTCGCAGTTCGATACAAGACCACAGCTCTAAGAAGGAAATAAAGAATAAATGTTAGAAATTCAATATATATGGATATTAAAATAACAATTAATAAAAATTCAACTTACTTATTAAAAAGTTCTACCATATCTGGCTTATTGCTTAGTTCTCTGTTAAGAGGATCAAGATACTAAATTTTTGAAGCAACAGGGTTAACCACAATAAGCATCCAGTACCCCCTAATAAGAAATAACAAGTGTTATCAAATAAGTAAATATAAAAAATATTTACTTGTACCAAAAGTAGTTAGAAAGTGGCTTACCCTTGACAATAAGGAGCAAGAAATAAAGTATCATTGCTTGCTCCCCTATCCTTAAATTGATTTGAAAGCTACCTTGCTTGATCGTCAAGAGCTTCCTTTGTAATTCCATTATAGGCAGAGACATCGTGGGGATTAATCAACTTGAATCTCGACTCAAGGCCGCTAGGAATCACAAATGAGGTATAAAGGTGGCTTAAGTAAAAAAAAAACCAGGTTAATACACACACGTGCACATATACATATATATAATTTAAGTAATTAACTGAGCATTATCGAAGAAATACCTCATGTAGAAGCTCATCAGACTAGTACTGGCCATTTCGTGCTTGAGAATTTCATTCAAAATTTCATCCCGAACAACTTCAAACAAGCCCGGTCTTCCATACAGCCCATCAT